CAGTGTGTTTAGTTACATTTTTGAATGCTAGTGAAGACAGTGCCATTATGAATAGGACTTAAATCCTATCTCTTGTGTGAAGACACTCGTGGTACAGTGGACAAGACAGTGCGCTGGGAACTCAAAGATCGCAAGTTCGAATCACTCCTACAAAAGACATGAAAGACGTTAAAAACATAAACAGCGGATTCAAAAACTCAAGTCAGAAAAACAACGCAAGAATACTACCTCACATGGAAGCCAGTCGACAGTTGACAGCTGTAGGTCACGTGCAACAACAGACACGAGAAGCATGGCTGCTCTCCAAATGGGTCCCTTCTTTTGTATTGACCCCCTAATGATTACTGATCCCCCTTTCTAACTCTTCCCCCAAAAATAATATATCGCCCCTTTTAAAATGTATTGACCCACAGATTAATGAATATTCATGAGCACAGAAACTGCTACGTCATGAATAAATTAGCATAATTAAAAAAGATTTGCATAAAGTGTAGGTACGTCTTCTGGAGTCCTGCCATGTTTACAAACTATTGTGAATACATAAACATATCCAAATGGCGATACATAAATAACAGACTGAAAATAAACTGTGGTCGACCTCATTAACATGATTTATTCACGCACCCACACACGTGACAAAATTACAAAAATAACAATGATGCAACAAGTTCCCATCGTCGGCATGCCTCATTATGGTTATCGTAATGGACTTGAGGTCGGCAAAATGTTTTTTCTTCAACGACAGAAAAATAATCCACATGCTGTGATGAAGGATGAAAAGAAAGTAGCAAGTTTACGACGTGATGTCTCAAAAGTGCTCGCTCCCGTTATTGATTCACAGTCAGCGAAATGCTACGTTTTGAAACCAAAGCTAAGTGCTTCAAACCACTCACCAAGGTATGGATCGTTGCAATATTGCAATATTGGATTCATCGTGAATGAAGAGAAAGCAGAACGTGTGCGCCACATGCTGCGTGGTTCTTCTGACGTCGTTAAGTTCCAATGAGTTTTTACGTAAAAACACAAACAAAGCGGCCCTTTTCAGGGCCACCACACACTCCAAAAAAAGAGCTACCGTAACAAACACAGTACTAGTATTTAAATAAATCAAACGCGTTCGTTTTTGACAAATGAAACTTTATTGTTGACCCCGTTCTTGGCTAAAAATCACCCTGGGCGTTTAACCGAGGATGTCCCCAACATGTAACTTTTGTGAAAACAGGGGGTGGGCGCTTGCCCAGGGAGGGGCGCGTGCCCGGGGTAATACGGTATATTGACGATAGTTTCACTATGTTTTGTTTGATGTAGGTTATTGGATCTGAACAGACATATGGTCCACATGCATATATTGACAATAATCCACGTGAAGTGGCACTATGGTTAGCAGCACATCATTCTAACAAAAAAGCTTTAGAGATTCTTGCCAGGGAAGTTGCTCCAGCTGGTACTGGTATGGGTAAGCAACACATTTTATTACCTTGTCCATACAATCAAAGATGGAAGGGAAATTAAGGTTTATTAAGGAAACAAATTTCTGTCCAGCATTGTCGTTGTCGTCATTGTTGTCATCATTGTTGTTGTTAATAATTGTTATTGTGTGTATAGTTATTAACTTATTAGAGGATGTCCAGCTTACATACTTATCGGTACATTCTTGGTATTTCAAAAAATACATGAATCATGGCAATATATAGTGAATTGGGAAAATTTCTCTTGACACTTTTATTAAGAAACAAAGGATTAAATATGCCAACCGTATTGCAAACTCCACAAATACTCTACTTCAAGAAGCATACTATGTCAATAAAATTATTATTAAAAGTAAATGGTTTATTAAACTTGATACAATATTAAAAAATATAAACCATTCTTATCTGTTAAATGAAAAAATATTATCTCAATATCAAAATTAAGAACAATTGATAAGAAATGAAAAGAAGAGTTTAGAACAGAGTGGAAAATGTCAATTCCTTTAGCACAATATTTAAAAAACTGTTTTAATATAAGACAGCAGCACCTCATAAACTAAGCCAGTAACACATTACTTGTATACAAATTATTATCATTTTTTTAGACGAATTGCAGTATTTGCATTTGTAGTTTCAATTTTTTCTAAAAAAACAATGGATTTTACATTTGTATATTCCATGGAACACACTAGCAACAACATTAACCCTTTAATATAAATGCCATATCTCTAATGTATTAATATATATTCATTGTTTTGTTTGTGGTTACATGTGTGATTGAAGTGGAATATCAGTAACACACTTTGTAGACACATGAATTGATTCTAACTTATTTCTTTCACAGCTCCTGGACTGATGTCATTAGTTGGTGGAAGACCTAAAGTGTAAGTACAAATATTGATTTCAAGATAATTATGACATCACATATGATCATATTGACTGTATATGTACTGGGGTATACCATATTTATTCTATTAAAAGCACAATAGAAGCTCATATAAACCAAACATTGCATTTATTGTAAACTGAATCATTTCATTTTTTATTTTTAAATAGAGACCATGAAATAATAATTTTGTTATAAAATTATATTTTCCATAGATCTCCTGTCCTAAAGTTGTTTTCATTCCTCCATCCAAAGGATAAAATACAGGTAAGTAAATGACTTAGTGCTGAATACTTTGGGCTGTGTCTTCTTTAGGCCAGTCTTTCTTTATTTTAGAGGTATGATTTTATGCTTAATATTCACTATGTTCAATTATCCACCATAGACTCCGGTCAGTCAAAATGACAATTTGAACTGTAGGCCTTAATCAGCGATTCTGCCAATGAAGGAGAGATTGAATCTAGGTCAGGGGGAGCCCCATGACCCAAGATTCTCTTCCCTTATGTCACGAACCATGTGACTGAGGCCATATGGCGGCGCCATTACGGCTGGATATTCACATATTTCACAACAAAGTAACAAAAAAGCCTGGCAATCGTAACTTAATTGTTGGTTTCGTTGCGCCATCTTTTCCAACTGTATTTCGCTTCCCTCATGCATTTCATGTACATTTTATGCTTGATCAATGTATTTAGAAATGGATAGATGTGATGACAGCACCAGAGGCTCGACGCCGCTTTTTGTCTCCTTGTTTTTCTAAGCGACTGTGCAGTGGTTATAATCAGAATGTTCCAGCATAGAACCCGCATCCAAAATGCTATAATATTGTTTGCCGTGGCTGCGTGCAGGGTTCAGGTTTTTGCCTTGAAGGCGTGTATTTTCACTGGAGTTCTGAGACCTGAGATGTTTTTTCAGAACCATGCAAATTGCTGAGACTGACCACGTCGCTTGTATTTTCACAGCAAGGTTGCGCGTCCAGTCGGTTAAAGTGAGTTGCATGTTTGGCATGAGTGGGAAGTCCTCACGCTCGGCTACCGGTACTTTGTGTATTGAGACGTCGAGTAGGAAGCCCGATGGTGGAGGTACCGATATTTACGATCCCGCCCCGCTGATCGGAGGGCGTCCTCACAGTCTGTGTTTTCAGGTGGTGGTTTACATGATTTCACCGGCTGCAGCGAGGCTGTTCCCTTGGAGGTCTTTCCTCCTATGGGGCCCATTGCAGGTCCCCTTGTGGATCCTTCCTCGTACAGCGCCGGGTTTGCTTATGAGATGAGGGCTTTAGTCAAAGGGCTTGTGGGGCAAATTGCGTTCCTGGCAGGACGGGTAGATCAGACGCAGTCGGAGCGAGCTGTCTTCACTGCGACCCCTCGGTGGGCAAGCAGGAAGAAACACAGAAGCATCGCTCGCATTCAAAACAGGTCTCTTCCGGGATACTCTCCGTTCCCAGCCGCGACTCTCCCGCTGATTTGGGTGAGGCCGAGGCTTAGGCGAGTTGCACCTGGTCTCTTCCGGGACCTCAGGCACTGAATGCCAACGGGGATGCTGGCAGCCAAGCCTCCAATTTCAGGGCAGGGCGTTCGGGGCAGGGCACACGTTGCACCTTCCCCCTACTTTCAGCCAGCCAGGGTTCGCCGCGCGGTAACGGTACAAGGATTTTGACCCCTTTTTACCGACCCACGAGCGTCTCCAGAGGGAATCGACCCTGTCATAAGACGCACAGTTGAACACGCTCTCTTTCACATATTTAAGTTGAAAGGAGACAGTTCGCTCGCGTCGGATACAGCCGATACCTCGGGCGGTCCCTCAAAGTCTTCCATCCGCAACGAGTCGGCCGTTGGTGTGATGCGGAGTATCATCGATCCTAGTGATAGGATGTAAATACCCCCACCCTTGATCCTAAGGCAACCACTTACCATTGCTTCAACGCTTATGGGATCACAGGCGTCGGGATCCCAAGGCAACCCTGTCGGCACGTCCCCCGTGTTGATGGGTGGACATTGGTCAGCCGCAGAGGAGGTAACGCTTAAGGCCCTCGGGTGGGGTAAAATCTTATGCAACATTTTCAACTTGACCAAACACTACCCGGTCGGTGTGGTTTCGGGATCAGACCCCAAAATGTGGGGATGAGACCAAAACGCCCCCAACCAGATCCCAAGGCTCCTTCCCCAGACCCCGGTACCATGAATTTCCCTTTCAGGTAAAGGGGGACGACCGCGTTCCATGGGCGTTCTCGCCAGCTCATCACGCCCTGAGGGCAGAGTTGCTTGACCGCATTATTGTTCGCGCCCAGAACTTTGAGACCTCAGAGGCAGAACGCACCAGCCTGCTAGACCAGGCGACACGTTTACTGGTGGACCACCACACATCTATGTGCGACATCCCCTAGTGTCACCTGGCTCTCTTGGTCAGGGCTGCTACTGTGCAACGAGATGCGGTCTTAGACGCATGTTTTTTTTCTGGACCTTGGCAGACTGAATCAGTATGTGCTCCTCAATCGGTTCTGCATGGAGACGCCATTCACCGTTCTTCTCTCCAGCCACCATTTAGACTGGCTAGCCCCACTAGACTTAAGCGGGGGCCTACCTGCACATACCGATGCACCCGGTGAGTTGCCATCTCCTTCGAATCGTCCACTTGGGCGCTCAAGTATTCAAATTTCGGTTGCTCCCCTTCGGGTTATGCACAGCGCCCTACGTGTTCACCAGAGTGATGAAACAGGTAGTGCTGCTGCTTCACCAAATGTCGGGCCACATCAATCCGTACCTAGACGACTTGTTACTACAAAACCCAGACAAGGGGTTATTAGCCAACAAGTAAGGCTAACACAGGTTTTACTTCACCAGTTGGGCTCTTTAGTAAATCGACAAGTTCCATCTCAACCCAACGCACAGTTGGTGTTCCTGGGCATGGAGTTTGACACAGAGGTAAGCTTGGTATAGCTATTTCAAGCATGTTGCTTAGCGCTAAGCAGCCTAGCCGAATTCCTAGTCAGCATTCCCTCAGTGTCCCTCAGAGAACTAATGCAGATCATTGGAATAATGACCTCAGTTCGAAGGGTGGTTCCCCAGGCCGCACTACGCATCCGCCCGGTACAACGCTTGTTGTTACACACCGAGCTCTCCTATGGGAACTAGATAGGCGGGTATTGATGAAAGCAGTGCACTTAGCACTACCACACTTTCTACCCGTAGTTCGAGACCACAGAGTCCTGCTTCGCACAGGCAATACAGCGGTGATCTACTTCAAGAAGGAGGGGGGACACGTTCCCCTTCGTTGTCAGTCCTAGCGGAGCAAATTCTCCTTTGGTGCCTGGAATACAATGTGGAGCTAAGCAGACACTACCTTCACCAGGGGTGAGGAACAGTCTGGCAGATGCCCTTTCAGGGTGGCTCCGTCTCCAGAACACAGAGTAGCTAATACCCCAGTGGGTAGCTTCCAGTTGGCCACACCCCGGAACACCAAGCTTCTGCCGACTTCAGGAGCCTGGGCCAGGGTCGCTTTGCAGACCTCGTGGACCCACATAGTTGTGCCTTTCCTCCATTCCCGCTAGTTGAAAACTTTGACAGGTGCACATCTGCACATCTGCAACCAAAGCCTAGTTTCCACTTCTGTTGGAAATGCTAGTCGGAACACCGGTAGTGCTTCCGGACTTACCGGTCCTGCTGTCCCAATCGGATAGCACACTACCAACAAGCCCAGTGGGTATCACTTATACACATAGAGACTCTCAGTAGAGCCGCACATACGAAAGGTTTATCTGAGCGGGCTGCCAACGTTCTGGGCAAGGGCGAACAGGGATTCCACCATTGCTGCCTACATTTCTAGGTTGCAAGCATACACTGATTGGTGTAGCGAAAGGGAGATTGATCCATACCATCCACCTTTTGACGAAGTGGGTTTGTCCTACGCAGCGATCGTTTGCTACAGGTTGGCATTGAAAACGCTTTGGGAACAAGACTAGCTGATTGTCCTATTATTAGGAGACTATTTACTGCTTTCCATATCAGAGGCCGAGACCCCATACAAGGGAATCGCCCAACTGGGTTTTTTCGGTTGTGTTGTCCGCTCTAAGCAGACCGCCCTTTGAGCCTCTCTGATCAGCACCACTCAAAATTTTGACGTGGAAAATAGTTTTCCTACTGGCCCTCAGCTCAGGTAGGAGTTGGCCAGAGCTGGGGCATTGTTCTTCTCAGACGATGTACCGCCGTTAGTGACAATCAAGTTGTGCTAAAGACACGAATCGGGTTTCTCGCCAAGAACCAAATCCCAGAACATAATCCTCACTCGATCGTCATCCCCCGGCTGTCAAATTTTGTCGGCCGGGAGGGTCAGGAGGAATTGCTTTTCTGCCCGGTTCAAGCATGGAGTTGCTACCAAAACTTTACTAAGGATTCAGGACGGGGTACCAAGCACATGCCTTTGTGTTACAGCCCAGGCAGGCAGGATAGGCCGGTCTACCCGACTTCCATCTCCGCGTGGATTACTGACTGTTTTAGAGGTCTATAATACTTTAATCTCCTCGACACAGAACTTGCAGAGACACCAAGTATGAGCGCATGAGGTTCGTGCGATTGCTAACTCACTAGAATTTTATTTGCATTTCATAATAATTCAACAAATGTTTTTTGTATGTTATTATAATCACTATTGAGTACTAATCAAGTACTTTTTATTGACGCACAGCGGCACCCAAATCGGGAAAAGTATTGTCCCTGCAACAATTTCGTGCAATACATCACCATTGTACCATGACTGATTTCCTTATAATTATAATATTTATTCAACACTAAAATAAACAACAGTGAGTTGTTCTATCGTCGTATATAAAAATAAAATAAAATAAACTACATTAATATACAGTAAAGTTACGGTAACCAACGAAACTAAATGCTAAATAAAGCTAAATAATAGTACAAACACATAAAGAATCACAATAAACTTGTACCATACGGTACAGTACAATACAATGCCGGTACACTAGCTACTATTGCTAAGGAGTGGAAAATCACATTAAAATCACATTAGAGTCATAACTATGGAGGAAAGAATATTTTTAAATTGGTGGAGCTGCTCATATCTCATTAGCATACATTTTTAGTCCCTGTTCAGACGCAGTCTGAAAACGGGGACTTGTGTTTTGACTTCTGTGTGTGCGTGCGTGCGTCCGGACCTGTATCTTAGAAATGCCCTGGACCAATCACAATCAAACTTCACACATACATCATACATGATATTATACATATGCACGTCAATTTGTTTCACATTCTGATGCAAGATGGCCAAATGGCGGCCACTTTTGTGCTAAAAATCATCAAAATCAAGCATTTTGTGGCTGTTTACAGATGGATTTTGTTCAAAATTGGTATATACAGTACAGTTCTCGCGGAAGCTTTGCCTTCACTTCAGCGTCAGCTTCGCTTCAGCATCGCATCGTTATGGCATTGTTATGGCTTCATCGTCGCATCAATGTTGCG